TTTCATAATATATTCATACTATTGTAAAATATTTAAGATTAGTTTTCAATGAACTATCTGATAACAATTATCATGAGTTTTTATATTTGAAAATTCTTTTGAAATGAAAATTTTTTTATTTATTTTCTCATGGCAAATATTATTCATGTAAAAGTATACTATACTAGTTTTTGTCTGTAGATGTATACAAAGAAAATAAAAAATTGTCTTTATTTGTTTCTCTACAATACTTTCGATCAATTTTCATCTGTCGCAAGAACTAAATTTCAAAGATAACGTCTATCTTATTCATTGATGATTGAAATGAAATAATTTTGCGTTTCAGAAAATGATAATCGTACTGAATGCTTTTAAAAGACTATTGGATGAGTAATACTCACCCGCTGTCAAAGATTATAAAATAATATAACCAGTACAGTAGAACAGAAAGCGACAATTATCTTGTATGAAACTGATGTGTTCTCATTGGTTATTTTGATTTTAAATAATGGGACAACATTAAGATGTGAAAAAATGATTCATCCTTTTCATTCTCGTGTTGTGTCCACGTGGAAAGAAACCTTGTTGAAAAGAAGTGGCTATTTGAATAATGTTATCATTTATACGCAAACGACTTCCATCAAAAGATCGAAGTAATGAACATCTTCAGACTATTAAAACAAATCATATTCAACATGAACATCAGGCATAGAAAGAAAAACTTTGAAAAAAGAAAATTTATTTGTATTTTACAACAATAATAATCATGATGAAATGAAAAGAGCTAAATCTTCTAATGAATTGAATATTGATAAAAAGAAGAAAAAGAAAAAGAAAGAGAAATCTTCATTAACCCTTGATAGTCTTGATCTTAATACAAATACTTCACCGAAAATTGATCGAATAAATTAATCTTAGTGTGTACGAGGAGCTCAAGCGATTGAGCGGAAGAACTCTGTGTCAGGCCAACCTTCTGTCCAAAGCTGCAGCTAGTAATAGTTGTAGGAAAAATATCGGGCTAATCGAAACTGTCTTCGGACAGCACCCTATATCGAAAGGCGGGGTATTCTTCTTCTTCTTCTTGTCAATTACTACATTATTACGAGAGAAGCTTGTGCTAATAAAGTGAATCGTCAAAGTGAGTAGTTGTTTGTTGAGTATGGCAAATATGAATATTTCATTCTCATGTTTCAGTGTTGATAATAATTGAAGCGAACTTGAAAATTTCTCATTAAGTAAAGTTGGATTACATGAAACATGTATTCATTGAACATTGTTAATGCTTTCGATTGAATATAGATATACAAATGATACACTAAACATACAAACGAAAACAATGAAAATGATGATAGCTAATGAAACAAGTCCACCTAACCATAACTATCCTTCTTCAATCAAATCTAAATGTTTCAATGTTTTTTTTTTCAGTAAAATTCTCGATGTTTTCCGTTCAGACCAAAGTTTGACAATCAGAGAGCGAACCGAATTTTTCTAGATCGAGCTCGGTTTGAGTTCACTTTTGAAAAATTGGTTCGGATTAATTTTTCGAGAGTCAGTTTGAGTTCGGTTCGAGTTTGATTTAGTTCGGTATAGCTCAGATTTCATATACTCACAACAAGAATAGCTGCTAAATTACACTACACTTGTGCATCCCGATTGTATCGTAAGATCATCTGTCCAATACATAAATAGTAATTCATCTTGAACTACAACAAGTATTTCAGTTTCTATTCAATTCTTTTAAATTTATCCTATAGAAGCGAAAGAAAGATGACAATAGGTCAATTACTTAAGAATAATATGCTGTTATCAATTAGACGAGCGTCCGTCTGTTGTTCTTTGCAGCACAAAACAATGACAGAAATAAAACAGAAATGAATTTGAAAATTTATGCCACATACAAGTGACCGAATATCATCGACACATTATGTGTAATTGTTATGAATAGAGAACAAAACGCTGTATAAAGATTAAATTAACTATGAAAACAATTGGCCAAAGGTCGCTTGATCATTGTCAGCAACATATATTTTTACGAAATAGATGATGGTTCAACCAATATTAGTTCTGTTCTATTCGACATTATTTTTCAACAAATGGTTCAAATTCGGTTCGGTTCGTTTTCGGACTCTGGTTCACATCGTACGACAAGATTAGTTATTCTTTTCTTCAACCTAGATCAGCTATTTTCTCTTTAAGTATTTATATATTAATTTCAACTTTATTTAATAAGAAGAAACAAGATAGTTATTTCCATTGTAAATGTATCTTATTATACATACGTCTGATTGTATAATTGAATAATAATTTTTCTGAACGAATCATCGTATCGAAATTTTTAATGATTTCATCATCCGTTGTTAAAACATCAAAACATAAAGAACGAAGACAATTACGACTATTAGTAATTTTGTTGAAGATTGTTCGTAAAAATCATTGAATAGCTATATTGTTTATGTACTTCGTTTTAAAATATACCATACGAGGACAAACTATTGAGATATTCTAAAAATCATGAATAGCATTGATTTGTTCAATATAAACTTTCGTAATTTGAATTGGATTTTTGATTGAAACAATACGAAGAAAGTCTTTATAACCTAATTTTATTTTTTCCCTCGTATGATAATGAATGAAGTTTTAATGTTATTAGAAAGGGCAATTGATTCACCAATCCAATTAACACATGAAAGAAGATAGATTTTTCAATATTTAAATGATAAATTTGTGTTATAGTTATAATACGTTTTATTTGTTCGAATATAATTTCATCGTATGAAGGAATAATAAAATTAATCAATATTAAACTAGTTGACGTTAAATATTCAAGGGTGTGGGTGTGGGTGTGGGTGTTTATCTTTTTCTCATCCAATTTCACACCAACACCCTCGCAACGAATACCCTGTTTTTGTGAAACACGATCTGAAAGGAGTGTTGAAGTGTTTAGGGGTAGAAATTTGAACCCCCCCCCTCCCCCACAGACCGTGACAGAGAAATTCTATACCCATCACAGACCGTGACAGAGAACCCCAGAGACCATCACAGACCGTGACAGAGAACCTCTGGACCCATCACAGACCGTGACAGAGAAACCCCAATACCTATCACAGACCGTGATAGAGAATCCCAGAGACCATCACAGACCGTGACAGAGAACCTCCAGAGACCACCACAGACCGTGACAGAGAACCTCTGGACCCATCACAGACCGTGACAGAGAACCCCAAAGGCCATCACAGACCGTGGCAGAGAACCCCAGAGACCATCACAGACCGTGACAGAGAACCTTCGGACCCATCACAGACCGTGACAGACAAGCTCCAGGGATCATCATAGACTGTGAAAGAAGAGTTCAAGGAAGCATCAGAGATAATGCATAACTAACACATGATTGGAGCATATATGAGGTATTATCCTGTTTCAGTTCTATAATGTAAAGTAAGCCACGATGAAGAAATGTACACCAATATGCATAAAAAAGAACAATTTTTATAAGATTGGCAACAGCAGGTACATCGTGTTCCACATTTTTAATCCCGCAAGGGATTGCGCTAACAGCTTTTTTATAGAGTATTAGTCTTTCAATCTGGTTATGAATGCAATACAGAACTTTGTTACGAAAGCCTTGTCAAAACCGATACGAAAACGCTGTAGAAAAAATAACAACAGGGTTTTCGTATTATGAAAGCCCTGTAAATTTCTCGTTACGAACTGATATACTCCCCGCTCGAACAGCATTCAGAAGTCTGCCGTTGCGAGCTACGAGGCGAGTTAATCTCAACAAAGATGTGTGATTCGTTTGTAGATCATCAATTATCTCATTTTCTTTCTATGTTGATTGAAAATCTCGTATGACTATTGAGTACGTATCAGGTAGTCTCGCTGGAAATTCCAGTGTACACTCCATATTGTCGATTTGAGTTGGCTATTGTGATTTATCAACTAGGTTGTCGAGTGTAGGCAAATTGCTAGCGAGAATGAGTAAAATATTGCAGGAACCGAATCTACCAATAATGCTAATGTCTTTATTATTTTTGTGCTTTCACTCTTTTATCAATTCTACGATTAATTTACGATCTGTTTGATCGTGCTTATTCTTGAATTTGAGGATGATTGGAGGTAAATCATTTCGAATCAATAACGTCATTTATTGATTTAATATGTTGTTGTTGAATATATTACTTTGCTGAAAGTTCGCTTGAGAATTGATTGTGTTTTGCTCATCAGAATTAATTCGTAACCTTTTATTTGTCCCAGGTGTTTGGAAACCTGGTCTTGAGAATAGATAAGATGATGGTTCATCATCCATTTTCATGAATTCAGAATTCATTTACTCACAGTGATGTGTGTCGCGAGAAAAGAGAAAAAAGAAAGAAAACACGTCTTACCACTAGTATGGAGAGAGGACGAATGTGGCATTACAATTGATCTACGTCATATCTAAGATTTATAATTGAACAAGTCAATCATCACTGTGTCTTTATATACAAACATATTCCATCACATGACATTCATTCTTGTGTTTCGTTTTCTTATGAGTATACCTGGTTAGTTGGTTTTTTTCTAACAGGCGAGAGTATGCATGACTCATGTTATCATAGAAGATCATACTTCGTCCTCGTGATGTTCGTGATATATCTTTCTTGTTTTTTTTCTCTTTTGTTGTTGTTGTCTATACCTATATAAGAGCGTGTTCTCTGTTTATTTGATGGTGTGCGTGAACCTAATGGACTGATACAGACAAGAAAACATTCACTCTTAACATCATTTTAATGCCTTACACAAATCGTATGTTTTCTAACAGTTTAATATAATTATTTTGATTATTTTTCTCGTCATCTAAGTGCTATTTTTTTCATGCTGTGTGGAAAGATGCTATGGAATGTCTTTGTAATGATATTTTACATTTACTTTTAGATTACATCAAAGTTTCTGTCGATTCCTATTGTATTATTATTGAAACAGAGAGACGATAATTATATTAATTTATATCATACAATTCTCTATTATAATTATAGAAGATGCCTTCAATTGAACCATTATTAATGCCTCGATGGTTTTCTTCTATTGTCATTCGATTTCGTTCAATTGTATTAATTATATTCACGTTATTTTTGGATATTTTTGATTTATTAAAATCAATCATATTTAAGTTATTTATGAATGAGTTTATTCAAAACTTAACAATATTGAATCGTTTAACTGACATTACTGGTCCATATGTTGAAGATTTTCTTGGTATTATTACTGGAAGTCATTATAGTTTAGTTAATGTTTCGGATGATAGTTTCAGTATTGGAAGTTCGGCTTGTTACTTATTTAAACAAAAGAATAAGAGAGATTATAATAATCCTGATATTTATGATATACTTCATATATATTTATCTAAAATATTATATGAATCGCCTGATCGAATAAAAGAACAATGTGCGGATTGGGGATTTAATAAAGAATTAATTGAAATATGTAGTTATATTCAATCTGATGATTTAAGAAAATACACATATATTATACAAGCAGCTGTAATTAAACATGAGGAATCGAATACAATAATTATTGCATTTCGAGGAACACAACCAATGGCTTTGTTACAATGGATGACTGATGCTTCAACAAATTTTATTCCTATTAATAATGTATTCAATGACGACGCAAATAATATTAAGACTAATGATAATGAAATTCAAGTTCATGCTGGATTTTATTATGCATTAGGTTTAGATCAACTTAAACCTTTAGATAAAATTGATTTTAGTAAAGTTACTTCAAAAACACCGATGTTTATTCAATTATTAAATTGTATACAAAAATTTCATCGAAATGATAATAAATTTAATATATCGATTACGGGTCATAGTCTTGGAGGTGGATTAGCCTCATTATTTAGTTTTATTTTATTAGTCTATGGTTATGAATCGTCAATTTCTGGTGTTTATACTTATGGTCAACCTTTAGTAGGAGATCATCGTTATGCAAAAATATTAAATAATAAATTGGGAAATCGATTTCATCGATGGGTGAATCATAGTGATATTGTTACACGAATTCCAGTAGTTCCATTACCATCGATTGCCTGGTATTATGCCCAAACTCTATATTCAGATGCATTGAAAGCTGCAGCAAAGAGTAGTCAAGTAGAATCTAATCCATCCGATCAACATTATTATCATTCAGGATTAAGATTTAAAATTGACAATCAAGGAAATTTAGTAAGACAAAACTTAATTGATCAAGGACCAATACTTGCATTCGAGGATAGACTTGATTTATTTCATTTTATTTATTCGATTGTTAATGTTATTCATTCATTATGCTTTATAACACCATTAAGAAGTTTTTTGTGGTTGACTACTCCTGTTGAAATAAATGATCATTTTCCTGGTGATTATGCAAGAAAGATTAAAAATATTGTTAAAAAAATTAATGAACAACAATGATGTATTGACATTTGATTTTATTACCTTTTTCCATTGTTCTTTTTCTTTCTTTTCTCTAGCTGATATATTGTCTCTGCTGTTCTTTTTTTGTGAAACACGATATAAAAGGTGTGTTGAAATGTATAGGGATAGAAATTTGGGCTCCTCACAGATGTGACAGATACTTTAAAAAAAGCTTTTAGCACAATTCCTGCGGGATTAAAATGTGAAACACGATATACCTATTGTTACTAATCCTCTAGAAGCTCGTCTTTTTGTGTATATTGGATATACTTCGGCATTATTTCTTACTTTGGATCATAGAACTTCAATAAGGAAACATTCCACACCCGGACCACGTTTCTCACTCCTTGTGATAGTCGCGAAAACCTGTCTGTCATAGTCACTGATGGGTAATTAATTAATTAAGATATCGGTCACGGTCTGGAAGTAGTGGGCCCAAATTTCGATTCCTATACGCTTCAACACTATCTTTTAGATCGTGTTTCACAAAAGAGATTCGTTGCTGAATGAACTTGATAGAATTTGGATAAAAATCTTCGAACTTTTCATTTTCTTGAAAAATCAATGCTCATCACTCATTCTGAGAGTGTAAAACGTTCTGATTTGAGGAATTTTTTATTCAAAAACGACGATTGTTTTTTGAAATATAGATCAAAAACTCGAAGTTCTTTGCGATTTATATACGATCTTCGAAAAATTCCTTCCCAAAGATTAAAATTATTTCAAAATAGGTTTTAACAATCGCGACGGACACATTCTGAGTAATTGTTTGAACTTGAAAAAAAAATCTCGACGAGGAACTAATCATTTAAACTGATATTTTTGACTCGAATTTTTCGAGATTTCGCATCAATTCAAATATATACAGCCGTATTTCCCTGAGGGTGAGGGTATCACGGAAATCTTTATCACACACACACATCAGCACATATCTATCTGCTGAAGGTGCTCGGAAATCGTGATTTCACGTGAAAAATATATTCCGTACGAGATTAGAAACTTTGAATTTTTCATTTTTCTTAAGAGTGTAATGCTGGTCGTTCATGTTGAGAATGATAATAATGTTGCTTTCTATATCCGCTTATTATCTTCATCATTAAAATGAAGTTGTTGAAACCAAAAATATGCATTTGAATAAGACATCAAATTTGATTTATATGTAAAGTATCGCATATTTTATTAGATGACAAGTCTAGCATAATTTTATCCTACTGATCAATAACATTCTTTCTAATATTAAAGAGATGCAGGCTAAAAAAAATACATGTGATGTCAGTGACACATCATTTCTTTATTACACAATAAACTGGTGTTATCTATTATGTTGCTCATCCTTCGTTTAAAATAATTCGCAATATCTTTCATATTTTCTATGAAAAGAATATAGAAAAAGTCTAACCATCAATAGAGTAGAAGAATCATTGAAAACTAAGATACATTTTTATAGTAGTTCTCTGGTTCAGTTTTGTAGTTACATATAGTCCTGAAAAGTTTTATGGGTCATCAATAGAAACGTCATTTCAACCAGGATCGAACTTATCTTTTTCATAGAACGATAGGTCGATCTGTCTATTGAACGATTGACCGTTGACAAAGAGATACAGTGAGATGGTGCTTGTTTTATTTTTTTTTAAATTGTGTAGACAAATAATTTGCTACTGAAAAGTCAAGATTTTTATGCATGTATAATTACATAAAATTCAAAAAGAAAAACGTATTTTTAGTAAAAACAAAATCGAAGACAGATAAAATTGATAATGATGAATACTTCTAGTGGAGTAACTATTGTAGATCGAGAAGTAGTTGTGTTCTGTTTCGGTAACAAATTGTAAACAAACAAAAGTCGAGTGACTTCTCGTCGTGCACTGAGCAAAGCACCATGAGCATATCCATAGGTATCAGTACTTGTAGCCTCACCAGCAAATAATAGGCGATCGTTAATCGGTTCAGACAAATAAAAGGGATCTTCATACTTCTGTTCGAACGAAATATACGAATATGATCCGAAAGAAAATGAATCTTGACTCCAATTGGTCATGTAGGTCTCAATAGGCGTAGGAATAGTTATATTGGGAAACAGTTTTTGCAAATTGCCTAAAATTTCTTCCACTATTTGACCTTGATTCTGTGTCGATTTGTGTCGAGAAACTGCTTTGCCAGCAAAAATGCACGTAATAGCTGGCTTACCGTTCCATGTATTCGAACTGCCTGAATATCTGAATTCCATCGGCTGAGATGACGTCCGTACGAAAGAGAAATCAGAAGAATTCCACCAGACTCGATCCCATAATAAGAAGACCTTTTCATAGTGGCCGAATCCTATACGATCGATGGTGTTCAACTTCCATAGTGGAAGTTGAGGAGTAAATTCAATTTGTTTCGATTTCAGCACTCCTAACGGAACTGTTACAAGAACAAATTCTGCATGATAAATTTGTCCATTTTTAGTAGATACTTCAACCAACTTCTTATTATAAGTGATCTTTACAACAACTTCTTTCAATCGAATATCTGTGGCATCTTTAGCTAAATAATCGGTAAGTGCCATATAACCTGTTTCAGAAAAGATATGATTTCTACCATAATGTACCGAATTGATATCAAGATAGCCTTTGGCACCAATTGCATCTAATTCCGCGCCTTCTACAGCTCCAATGAAAAAATGTAGATAATTAGTAAATGCATATTGCTGCTCTTCCGTGAAGTTTTTTTGTTTTGCAAATAGATTAGCGTAATATCCAAAAGAAACGTTTGTTGATGATATTCTGGTCTCTTCTCGTACAAAAATCATGTACTCATTGAACCAACTTTGAATAGCTGAGATACTATCACCGATTTGATAAGATCCTAGAAAATCTTTCTGTTTTGTGGCATGTGTGCGAATTTTAGCTTCTTGAGTGAGATCCCAAATTGGATTTGTTAGCAAACCCGATGGAATCGAGCCATAAATACCGTGAATATAACTTGCACCCATTTCAAGTATGTGACCATTTTTTGAATGTATCGACCAAATTCGACCACCTGTTCGATTCCGTGCTTCTAAAATCAAAGTTTTGATCCCATTTTTTTGTAATAATCGAGCAGCTTCTAAGCCTGATATTCCAGCGCCAATAATTAATACTTGAGTTGCGATAGGATTCGATTTATTTGAAATGGCGTTTCTTTTTTGTAAATGATTCACCTAGTCAGAACAAATGAGAACTATATCTACAATTTTGCCTAGTTGCTACATATAGACTTCACCAACCAATTAACTAATTGATACAGTTAACAATCCACTTTATATCATCTTTTCACTACAGAAATGTACAGTTTACTATTTTTGTGTTATAGCTGTCAAGCCGAAGAAAATGAATTTTGATAGAATTTCAATTAACAGAATCCATCAAGAATTAAGTCGGCTAATGAATAAAGTCTAATTCGGAGCGTAGACCTTCAGATTGCATCACATTAAGATTTGATGACTCCCATGATTTCTAGAAGTCAACAGAATCTATTAAGGTTTACAATTTTTTCGGATGATTGGAAAATACTTTCTATGCATTAGAAATGAACCAGAAGAGGAATCAAGCAATATTATCATTGTACGACATTATTATGCTTTATCAGTCATTTATTTTTCCACTCTTATTAAATAAGCTCACAACAATCAGAGTGAAAAAAAGCCAATCAACAAGCTAAAATTCCAGAAGCTTCAGCTGACTAATGGGGTTTCTTGAAATGTTTATTAATTGTTTCTCTGAATTCAAGTAACTAGGGTCCTATCTTTTTTTCAGATGTAAAAAGTCAAGATGTTTTCGGTGTATATATTGTCCTACTATGTCACGTGGGAAAAATTTAAATCAGACAAAAAATTTTCATTCTTTTCATGTATGGCAATGTCTGTTTGTAGTCAATAACTACTTACATGAGGATGATGCTGTTGAAAATGACCACAAACCACGCCATATAAAGTCAAGAACTGTATAATATGCATAATCTTTACGAAATTCCAACTGATCACGAATGATGATGTGATAGTGTCTGAATAGCAGTAAATAAAGAAGAATATATATTATCGATTGAGTTAATCGTGAACTTTTTTTCTTTGTTTGCCTATCTTCTCAGTACAATTAACAGTCGTTTCCTTGAGCAACAAACATACTCAGAGAAGTCTACTCATCATAATTCTATTACATAGATCGCAGTGATTCATTTCTTACTCTAGAGTCTTGCAAGATATGAAAACAGATCAGTAGCGTAGCCAAAGTGGAGACCATTGTGCAATTTCTCAGAGATTTGTAGAAGTGATGGTTATTGCCCAACACTGATAAATAAAAAAATAACGCTGAAGACATGTAACATAAGACAATGGTGACTGATCAATTCAACTCGTCACATTGAGTAACAGTGAATTAGGTATTCTTTTTTTCATGAGAATTTTCTAGAAGCGCTGGTGGCAAACTCTATCCATTTATATGATGCATCTTATCATGACTTTCGAACTGTATTTTTGACTGAATTCAGAAATGTTCCGTTTACAGAAAGGGAATAACAGTCGTTCTCAGTACTTGAAAGTTTCGGTTTGCGCATCGCGAAAACATAGAAGCTATTGAGACTAGTTGTTGTCTTCGATGCAATTTGAATCAAATAATTCTTTTAATTAGAAGAAGTCAAGAAACGTTTTCGTTTCTTAAAAAGCGCTACAGCTGGATAGCGCAATTAATCTCATATATTCCAACTTTATCTTTTTCGAAAAATTTGTTTGTTCCTTTCTAAAAAAACAAAGCTTTATATAATCTTACGATCTTCATCACCTTTAGCGATAAGCTCTAAATTTTCGAACAAATTTCAGAAATGACATCGTGACAGTGACAGTAACTACGTACTTTGTGTGATGATCAAGATCACTGAAAGGTGTTCCAAAAAATTTCTCGCTTTGGGTGGCAAAAATCCGACAAACCCTTACTTTTTCAATGATTGTCGCTAGTGCGATTGTCTTCGATGATAAAATATTATTCACTATTACATATCAACTAATAAAAATCCTAGAAACCAGCGAAGAAATTATGGTCTGATTGGCCTTTGAATTGCCTATAGCTGTCCAGTTCTCGAAAGAGTTTGGTTAGGAAATTGCTCAGTACTTAAAAAATAAACATTATTAACGAACCGAAAGATATCTACTTACAAAAAGTATTGTTTTATATGTACTGAAATGATTGAGTAATGGTGTATGACTGAATAGATTCACTATATGTCATTAAGATTTCACTCACTCAACATTAACTAAATCTTTTTGAAATTTATAAATGAATTAAACTAGTGATTATAATAAATTTACCCTTCAGATATATTTCTTGCTAGAATATTCCTACTAAAAATTAATTTTGAGATTTTCTTACCTGTTTAAAACTTAATTTACGTTGTTAATAACAAACCAAAGCAATACTTAAATTTGAGAGCAGCGAGAGTCAAGTGGAATTTGTTCGTCGATTGATCTAGAACATGTCAAATATCTTTTTGTTTTGATTTGTGTCTAAGCAAATTATGTTAATTATTAGTTTAAACAGATCAGTTTCTGTCCTTTTGTGAAATATTCTTTTTCTTCTTGTTCGTAATGTTTTTTGCCAACGACACTGTTTTCTTCAAATGTTATTGATAAAAATGAAATGCACTGAAACATATACAATTTTTTGTCCTTTTATCTTTTTATTATATGTTGATATTTTGAGTTGATAGTTTTCGAACGAGAAAAAGAAAGAATAAATCTTTATTGAAGTTCTATTAGCATTTTGTTAACCTATTACAAAATCAAGATAACAAAGCAAAGAAAAAGAGGCAAAAAAACAAAGTTTGTGCGCGTTGATGTATCTCGTTTGATCAATAAAGTCTAAGAAAGCTGATATCGTTAGAAAAGTATTATGAAAAGGAGATAGAATATTTCTTAAAAGATACTGTTATTTATTCTTTGTCATAAGAATTAAATAATTGTTTGACTTATTCTTCAAGAAATTGGATTGAAGGAATCAGAATCACTTATTTTCATTGAAAATAAATTTAATATATTCATCAATATTTGGAATATGATATGATTGTACATGTCTATCGATTTCATTTTCTTGTTTTGTTAATTGATTGATATCTGTTTTCTAATCAAATAAACTTGCACCAGTACTTAATGCAAATAGATTTAATTCAATAATTATATCCATTCTAATTCATTAGATAATTAATTTTCAATTAGTCCAAAATCAATTACATAGTTAGGATATTTCTTCGTAAATGAATCTAAAAGTGATTTAATTTTTTGTTGCCAATATTTAACAAGTAACATTCGTCACTATGATTCGCTTGACTTTGACTGAACTCAATCTATTCATTACTTACATCTATAACTTCTCGTTGAAATCTGTTTTTGATAACTACCATCGATGAACTATAGATATAGCAAAATCTGTATGAAAGTGTCATTGGCGATCATTTTATAAAAAGACTGGTTCTTTCAATCTTTTTTTTTTGAACTACTAATGTGAAGTACAAGAGACAACTCACAGTGAGTCGTCGGCATCCTCATGAACTGTCACTTACGACTGCTCGATTTTGTATATGCTACGTGTATAATTTAAAGCGATGCATCGTATTCTCGTTTTATACATATATATATATATAAGGCATAGAAAAAACCTGCGAAAAATTCATAAGGAAATGCATTCAACTAATAGATCGCGTTAGAATTCATACCCTCTACATAAGATAGACTCCAGTAAAATATGACAAACCCCGAAATGGCACATGTCCATAGGTCTCCTATCCAGAGTTATAGACATTTTACTAAAATCCTATGTTCAGTTATAGGATATATCAATAAATGGACTGATAATATTTTGATCTGAGATTTTATCCATAGTGTTAGTCAGTAGAATGTTTCTTTTCCGTGATATTTAAGTTTCAAAAAAAAGAACAGGAACGACTGACATCATTTGTGGAACATAGGTGATTCTTGAGACTTAAATATCTCGAGAGGGGAATATTCTGCTGATTAATAGAATGAGTGAAATAGAAGATATATGGGCACGTGTCCTTTGGGAGTTTTTTATATTTTATTGGTGTCTATCTTATGCATACGATGTGAATTTCGAAGCGATTTATCATTTGAATTGTGTTATCGATTGGCTTCTGCTTATCCGAATGAGAAAATTCAATTGATAATTTGTATATGTGTTTGAACAATAAATATCCCAATTGTATTTTCGATCTAATTAAAACATATTGATGGTAGTTTAATCTAGAAAAAAGATATAAACTTTTTTCGATCAAAATACGAATTAAAGTTTCCTACTATGATGTGTTGTTTAGTCATTCATTAATCTAAAATTCAGTATATTTCATTACTGGTCATGAATTGGTATGTCATTGTCTTCTCATCGACAAATATCAGTTACAATAAAGTTAAGGATGAATTTGTCTGATTTTTTTATTTCTGTTTAATTCTTTATCATCAAATTCATGTCTTAAGAGTGTACAAAACAAATATGAATTAAAAACGAGAAGAAAATAGAAAGCATCAATCAAAGCATAAGAAAGAATATTCATACACATAAGTTGTTTTTATCAATACATCTGCCACATTGTGGAGGATTCAGTCGAGAAAAGATAATCTTCTTACGAAGAAATTAGTTGAGAACAATCTGTATGTAAAACACCGATATACTAGTTGTGAATCGATTAAATAAATTATTTGATTAGTGAAATTGCTATACCTTTGTTGAACTTGATACTAACGTCAACAGAGAACAAGTTTGCAACAATAATATCAAATCGATTATCACTATTAATATCACATATTGCTAGTGGAAATGGTTCATCACCAGTTATATAAGTTGTGTTTGTTGAAAATGTACTATTACCATCATTGATAAAAACACGAAGACTATTTGAATTCTATAAATAACAATAAGATCCAATTTTTCATCACTATTGACAACGATTGCTATTAATGATACAAGAAGTTAATTACAACTAAAACTTGTTCGAAACATAAATTTTCCAGCTTCAGTATGGAAAAAAACTGTAATTTTCTGTGTTATCTAGAGAAGAACGATTATATCAACATATTGATTGTTATTTAGATCATCTGTTGCTACAAGCACGGATGCATCCTCAATATCATATGAATCGCGAATCCATTAGATAAACTATCATTACCATTGTTTAGATAAGCATTTACTCGATCTGTATCTGTATCAGAATTGACTATAATCATATTAGAATATCCATCATTGTTAACATCAGCTGTTATCAAAAAATTTGAATTCGTGTCCGACTCAAGGTTTCCTGGTCTGCACAGGACTAAATACATTCACGTCAAAGACCAAAAATGCCTTACAGGTCCGCATGGACTGGGCACGATGTGGATGATGCAGCGAGAGAAAGTCAGTGAGAGAGAAATGATGAAGATCGAATGTTTATTTTGTATACCGAAATACAAATTAAACAGGAGGAAAACAAATCAAGATGAAAAAATAAGATCGAGAGGGAGAAAAAAACATAGAATATATATATATATAGTAAAGTGCAAATGTCTTTGCCCTCGATACATCATATATTTTTCAAGAGAAGTGGAATCAATTGGAAAATGAAATACATATATAGATAAGGTATACCACAAGGTACAAGAATACACCAATGAATAGTTAATTCTCTCTGCTTTAAGATCAGTGAAAGCCTGACACCGTATTTTCATTGACTTGGCCATATTTTCTTAACGAAGAAAATTCGATTTTGACCTTTTTTTTTCTCCACAAGAAAAGAGAAAAATTAAAAAGAGGTTCGATGATGCCCTCTACCTGATGATACTCTTTCAAACAAATAAAATATTAAGGAGCACTGACTGGTAATTAGAGAGGATTTTGGGTTGCGAAAAATGCTACTCTTGACTAATTTTGCTGATTTGGCAATTCAAAATTTTCTCTGATTATCCATGAGTGTCTCTTAAATTTTTTTTTATTTGAAAGAGCATCAAGCGCAACGCAACCGAAAGCCTCACTTTTGTTTTTCCCTTTTCCTATGAAGACAAAAGGTTAAAAATCGCCTTTTACCGCCAGGATGTGGGTGTGAATGAAAAGAAGGGTCATATTCATACTCATACTCACACCCACACCCTGTGTTGAACTACCAACACATTAAAACGCTATCAAGTGAAACACGTAATAACTGATTATTGCAAACGGAATGAAGCCGCTGTTAAAACGCGAACAAAAGCAGCAAATTCACCTATTCACACAGTGTTGAACGAGAGAACAAGCATGACTATGACAATATATTTATTTCGCATTATTGATTGTTTGAGTATTTTTACGAAAAAATGATTTTTCGTCAAAAAAAAAAGTTCAAGTAAAACTATCTTTTCCTATAACTTGAAATATTATTGAGTTTCTTTTATATTTCTGTGGATGGTACTACGTAGGATTCTTTTGGTGATGGCAGTGTGATTACGAACCGCCAGTGGGCGCATTAAACGCATGTGAATCACCATGCTGAACAGCAGCCATGTGAGGATATGCAGCACCAGTATAAGGCTGTGCTTCATAGGGTGGAGGTGCGTGTACTGCTTGATTCTTTTGGTTGTTATCATAGACAATTGGAGCAGGTGCTACAGGAAATGGACGTACAATTATGTTTAAATATACGTAGAGTCCGATGAAAAAAAGTTGTGTGAAGAAGATCAGAATAGCAAAAGCAAGTTGAGCTTGATGTAATTGATATTTTGAGCATGCATTTTTGAAGACTTTATTCCCACTCCCATAACTATTGCAGTACAATGTTGAAGCAAATTGATGTGTATTCACATAGTTTCCGGTGATACCAATTAGGATTATGGTGAATACAAGTGCAATACATTGACAAATTAGATTAATGAGCCACATTTGAGATGAATTAATTTGTTTGACTAAAGTAGAAATAGTGACTTTAAGAACAAGTTTTAGAGTTAAACAGCGTCCGAACTCACCTAATTTGAACAGGAACCAATTGGCTATATCAATCACGATACTGACCCAAATTCCTGCCGCTGTCACAGGTCCAACAAGGCTGTTTGTAATAGCTGCTGTAGATCCAGAAGTAGTAGCAATGAGAGCATAACAGGCGAGGATCCCAATCTCCATTGCAAAAATCAACACACTCAAAACAGTTTGAACCCATGCTAGAATTCGGATGATTAATGGTAACGACTTGAAAATACGCTGATTTATTCCAGGACCGCTACTAGTATTGTACTGCACTTGTTGTTGCATGATTTATTATTCTGGAAGAACAAAATGGTTTCTTGTTCTGTTTTTTTACTTTTTTTAAAAATGATATACTCACGAGGGAACCTTTTCAACTGTCCAATCGCTTTTGAGTTCGAACTCAGTTTGAAAGATAGACCCCAGTGAGGTATGAAAAGGCCCAAAAGGATAAGTGCCCATAGGCCTTCCGTCCAGAGTTATAGGCATTTTACTGGATTTTTAGCCTATGGCACAGTATATACCAAAAAATCGAATGACAATATTTCGAGCTGAGATTGTGTCCAAAGATAGGTCTATGTACCAATAGAATGCCCTGAAAATTTCAGCTCAAAAGAATGTTCCAATCTCGAGATATTGAACACCCAAAAGCCAAAAAATTCTAGCATCATTCGCGGGATATCCGTGATTTTTGGGAGTTTAATATCCCGAGATTGAAACATTCTTTTGAGCTGAAATTTTCAGGGCATTCTATTGGTACATAGACCTATCGTTGGACGAAATCTCAGCTCGAAATATTGTCATTCGATTTTTTGGTATATACTGTGCCATAGGCTAAAAATCCAGTAAAATGCCTATAACTCTGGACAGAAGGCCTATGGGCACTTATCCTTTTGGGCCTTTTCATACCTCACTGGGGTCTATCTTTCACACTGAGTTCGAACTCAAAAGCGATTGGACAGTTGAAAAGGTTCCCTCGTCAGTTCTCTTTCTCTCGATTTTATTATATACATTTCTTTTATCACTCTTGAAAAAATGACTCAAAAGTAGCGAGTTCCTTAGTCATTTTCTCTCTCTCTCTCTCGCGATACATTATTTGTCAAACAAAATATTTACATTTTATTTAAGGTTGCATAGAAGAAAAAGAACGCTTTTGCTCTTTTAGTTGCTCTTATCTCTTATCCTTGCCCTGTTCAAATATCCAAATAATGATAGTGTTGTGATATGACATCTATATCTGTAATGCTTTATCTTTTCTTCTGGGCTATCTTTTTTTCTTTTGTTCTTCTTTATTACTTTTCTTTGATATATCTATATATATATGTATGTGATGATGTAGACAGTTGAAAAGAAATAAAATAAAAAAAGAGATTATGTTCTACTAAAAATGAATCCATGTTTGCCCTTAAGAAAAATTAGAATATAACAGACAGATACACTTAATCTAGATTATTCATAAACGCATACCAAAACCAATAATGGAGCGGTGTTGGAGAAAGGAAGAATTGCATTCTCATTACTCATTTTTATCAGAGAAAATGTATTTAATTTCTTGGTCTTATCAGTGAGATCATTTTACTAGTATCGGAATTTGAAAAGAAGGCACTTGGAAGAAACGCTTATAGCTTTCGAACGAAAAGTCATAGTGATCTGCGGTTTTCACCATTCAGTAGAGGACAGTCGGGGGCACATGTCGATGTGCGAAAATGTTTTCCAAAAGTATTTTTCCAGACTAATTTTAGTAGACGAAATTAAGAACAAATTAGCGACTTTTTTAGAGGAAATTTTTTTCACTAGATTTGTACTCTGACATGCTCTCTTCGTAATGGCATCTAAGCAATTTCGAGATTTTGCTTTTTATTCTTATAATCAATCGTGGTTATTATTATTTTGTATTTGTTTTTAAACAAATTCATTTGAATACTTGTCAATAAATTGTGTCAATTCTTCAATATTTTAAAATTGAATTCTTTTTACAGAATTTCAGTTTGAAATATCATTGGAAAAACATGAATTTTGTTTTTTTTTTCTTAGAATTAATTTATGAAACAAGGAAACAAAACTTAACTATATACTCAAATACTTGTCTCGATAATAAAAATCGTTCATAGATTAGGTTGATTTATTATATTGTCAAGGTATTCTTTTTATAATATTTTTATTATCTATGATATTTGAATAAATTTCATGTCTAAATAGTTCAAGTATATCGTAAGTATACGTATGATTAGCAAAAGAGAAGTAAAGAATAATAGAGTTATTCATAAAAACATACGTTGAATGTCAATTTGTTTTTTTTGTTAGTAGAACATTGAAAGATAAAATTGCTCAATGTTTTTCTTCTTCAATTTTTAATTTATAAAAACTTCAGCGATAAATTGACTTGTACAAAGTTTATGATATGATAAGCAACAAAAATGGATCAATGGAATTGATTACAAGGTGGAATCAATTTGAGGTTTGTATAAATTGGTGAAGTCTATTAATTCTACTTGTGTTTTCAATAAAATTTGTTTTTGTTTTCAAGATTAGAATAGAATCATTAGAAAGTATAAGTGCAATATTGAGTATCAATATGTCAAATGATCATCTTAGAAAAATATCACTGAAAACACTATTGTTTGCAGCATCTAATAAATAGTCAATTACAATCTTCGTTCTCTATGATTTTGAATTGAATTACGATAAAAATAATAATCCATTGCTTTCTATTTGTGCTCTTGAGATGATTGAAAGTATTGTTTCTTTCTTTATAATTTATCTCATATCGAATATTGTTTTATTTTAGTCTAATATATTTCCTAGTTATTTTATTGATCATATAGATATTTATCAATGGATTTCTTCGAGAGATTCGCAGAGTGTCTCAACATGATCAACGCTCGATGAATGAGGAATGAAGCTATCGTTCTATGGTCGTTGATGATGATAGAGGCGAAGATTTTTGGATTAGAGTACCCAATCAATGTTGAGCTGCATTGGGTAAACAATAAGTTTATAGAGGAGAGCGAAATAAAGAAAATGAAAATGTATCTACGGTTACATAAGTGACGAACTACAACATAAAAAATGATCCCCATCATGCTAAATTCTACGCGATTATTCTAAGCACATAATCTTCAAAGTTTTTTTTTAATGATTCTCTGGTCGATGACACACAATCGAATGTGATTATGCTTGACACTAGAAAAGATTCATCGATCTGTGTCACAACTAACAAATTGCGAATCTTCACTATTTCTCGAGAATATCGAATAATATTGATGTAAAGGGCATGTTTGCTCTGTCAATTGCCCATCAGTGCATTTCAGGTAGTGACAACAACTGTGAGTTACCACAAAACGAAGACGTTGACCATTTGATGGACATTTCAATTGACCTTCGGAAAGTGTTAAAATTAGAAAATCTGAGAAAAATGGGCAACTCACATTCTGGCACATTTTTTGGCCATAAACAACCTCCAATATCCAAAGCGAGAACAATGGTAATCGTAGATCTAGCTTCTACACTTACTACGGCTATAGAAAAGAGCAGGATCACAGTAATTTGTCGTGCCGATGCCGCCTTTTCCCATCTTGAAAGAATATAAATCAACATTAAAAAGTCATTGCATTAGACTTATCATTGCAATAATGGAAGACTGAACAATCGTAGGTGTTATTCGACTGAATGCTGCCATTTGTCTTGTCTAAATATGAGAAAAAAAGAATCAATTTATATTATCTTAACTAGAAGTAACGAATTTCATCGAAATATTCTATCCGATGAATATCATTAATCCAGTATCCTGATATGCCTCCTTCGATCGCCCTGACTTCTTCATTCGTTAATGTATTTCTAAATCTGGAAAGATGTTCCGAAAATTGTACTTACGCTCAAGATTTCAATCAACTTTCATGCTTAGATTTTCTGTTGGTGACTTTTTCTCGGCACATGAATATGTAGGAACTATTTCAGCTGCAGCAAGGAGGATCACTTTATAGAATCAAATGGATGAGCGACATCGTTAGAGTGTGGGTGTGGTTCCTAGTCTTCTCTTCACCCACACTCAAACCCACACCCTCATTAGTCAATTCTGGTCTCTATTATAGACAAAATACCACTGGTAAAATGATACAAATCACTAAAGCAGAAAGTTCTCGTTCTTAAACTGCTATACACTTCTTTCTTTTCTCGTATAGTTCGATTTAAATTAAACATTTTAGCAAGGTAAATATAGCGAAAAAAAATAATAAATCGGACATTTATTATCGAATACACTTTATATGCTTAGTAGACAAATATAAATTGTCAATGAAGAACAAAGTTTTATTTTATAGCTAATTGATCACGCTCTTTTGTATACATTTCTGAGAATAACAATTTTCACTAAACAGTAAATTCTATTTAAATTCTGTGCTGTTTATTCATTAATTTCCCTTTAAAATATTTCCTGTTTATTATAAGCCGAAAAAAAGTCGAAATTCTGCACTGAAATTTAAATATATTTTTCTATAAAGACTTCCAAATTTTTCTGCATTTCAAATCACTGTTGTATTGATTCATGCAAAATTCAATTAAATCTCTTTTATGGACATTATTTAGTGCATTTTTTCTTCAAAAGAATCAGTATAGACCGTACTCGAAAGTCTGATGAACGCATACTATTTAAATTAAACTAATTAAATAAAATGCCCTATTTTGACAGTAATTCATTTGAAACAGCCTGTTGCAGGCATTTTTCTTTATTAAAATAATAAGTCTTAAAATAAAGATACATGCTGCTTGTCCTTTTATACTTTATTTGAAATTGACGTTTTCAAAATTACCCATGTCATACACACGCTTGTCTTCTATATACTGAAGAATAAAAACTAAGAGTACAAAAATTTTTATTTCATTTTATTTTATTTTATTCATTTTACAAAGAATGTCAGTAGTATCGAAACGTTTGAAGACAATAAATATATTCTTAATCGAACCAAATTTATCATTTTGATCACATTACAAATTCCATCAATTATAATTTCTCTCTTCATTTTTGCATTTTTTATTACACATCGTACTTCATTAACTAATCTTCAAACTCAAGCTATAATATGTTTACTAGTGGTCAATTTTATTTTTGTATTGGTTGATTTACCAGTGTCCATTAACTTCTATCGTCTCGGTTATGTAAA